ACTTGTCTGCTGCTTATATTAAGGGACTCTAACATATATTGCAGGCCACAGCTAGTTTCTGATAATAACACTATATCTTCTGCGAATCTTAGATGGCTTAAGAATTTGCCATTAATGTTCAGATCACATTTATTCCAGTCCAGTTTTCTTATGACGGTTTCCAGTACAGCTATAAAAAGATTTGGTGATAATCGCCTTGCCTTACTCCTCTCTTAAAAGGAAAGCTTTGGCCAATCGTTTCCAATTTTACTTTGCTAGTGCTTTTGCTATAAATGTTTCTTATCACTACGCACTTGCGGAAATATCGTTTCAAATTTATTGGAGTTACATTGTTTATTAGGAATGATAATACATTCCCTGAAGTTTGGCCCCAAACGCAGCTCCTCTAATTTACCGACCATCTGTTATACAGTGTACGGACTAGCGTTGCCCTGAAGTAGAAAAAAATGTCCAATCTCGTTGTTAAAGGCTAGCTTTTCTATTACGGTTTGCAATTTGCAAATTGTTGACAATACAATACAGATACAAATCTGTCGTAAGCATCTGTCTAGGTCCTAGGAAGCTGTAGTGGATGACACCTGCACTAGTCCACCAAACACTTGCCCATTACCTTCTTCTGAGTCAACTTTCGCTTGAGGCAGGATTTGACCGGTTCTCCTAGGTTCAACTATTGCGATGAGCGTTTCTGATTATCGTACATGATCCATTTTTCATCACAAGTAAAAATACGATTCAAAATACGTTAAGTAATGCACTCGACGCGTTTGTTGGTGTGTTTCACTCAATTCATCCGGTACCCACTTTTCAGGCGTTTTTTCAGGATTCTTCACTTTCCAATTTGTTTTAAGTAAATTAAAATTGTTTTATCAATCACAACGAAACCTTCCTCTAAATCTGACGTGGTTTTACTTTTATTCTTCATTGTCAACTAGGGTCTCCAGCTGTCCACGGGATTTGTTCTGTAGGCTAAAATTTCCTGAACGAAAAAGTTGAAACTAAAAATCATATTATTCGAGCTAGCGCTGGTGCCACGGTGAAATTCGTATTTGTCAACAACGCGATATTTTAAGATTTTATTGTGAACAGAACGATGTCAAAGAAGAATAAATTCAAAAACAAATACACAAGGCTGAATTTGAAATACATTTGAATTTGGAATTCCTAACCAAACGGCAGATATTTGAGATCGTAGTGGCCAATTTGGCAAAACACCAATTTCATATGAAATGACCTAATATTTATTTATTTTATAAGTTATAACTTATAACTAGTGGCGGCCCTAGGGCGGTGCGAGAAAGGTGCGACCGTACTGGTCGCCGCGCCGGGGGGGGAATCAACCAAAACGCTACCACCGGGCACAGGTCACCAATTTCACTCACTCTTTTCGCTAACATTCCGTTTTCTTGACCCTAATTAGGAAGTCAAAGCACGAGTATTTTGTTGCTTAAAAGCCAGTAAGTGACTCTTCGGAAAAAGGACTTACTGGCCTCTTTTTTGATGCAATTGTACAAGCGTTTGACTTAGACATGTTTAGGTCACAGGTACAATAATGGTGCGACCCGATCCTTATTTGCTGTTCACAGTTCGTTTTCGGTCCGATCTCGGTCTGATTTATTATATTATTGGAAAGGGATTCGAGCGAAATTTGACTGTTACGGATAGTATGAATGCACGCATATATTTTTTACTTGATAATATTTTATCAGATCGAGGTCGGACCGAGAACGAACTGTGAATGGCATTATAATGAGAATCGGCCCTGAAGGTGTTCAACAAGAATTTGACACAATATTCTCGGGCATTTTTCAATCCATTTAGTTGAAGTTATTCGAACTTAATTTGCTCATATTCGCGTAATAAAATAAAATGATGTGTCCTACCCAGTCTGAAGAACACCTCCCAAACCCCCGCCCCTCCCTCAACAACACCAGCACCACCACACTAGGAACGACACACCATTCTGGATAATACGATACGTGTTTCGCCGCTACACGAGGCATCCACAGGTTAAGTAGTCTCCGCGGTGGCTAAGTGAGCGGCGAGTCGAAACAGTTGCTATTTACTTATACAACTCACTGATCAGCGAGTTGTATAAATAGCAGCGTGTAGAGAGCGGAGAGAGTGCTAAGAGTGGTAGTGACGATGATAGTGTCAGCCTCCGAAGAGTCTACTTCATCTGAGAATGCCTCGTGTAGTGGCGAAATGCATGTATTATTAAGGGTGGTGTGTCGTTCCTAGTGTGGTGGTGTTGGGATGGGGTGGCGCTGGGAGTGGTGGCACTGGAAGTGATAGCGAAAGGGATAGTGCACTCAACTGAGGGAGAGTGGGAGGTGGGTGCCCTTCAGACTGGGCAGGACACATCATTGTATTTTATTAAGCGGAAATGAGCAAATTAAGTTCCAGAACCGCCCAGGGCGGTCTGCACTTGCTTTCCTAAAAATTGAGACTCAATAAAGGAAACACGGGTCTTATACATGAATCAGATATCATGCGTCCGCTATTCACTTTTAATAAAAAGTAATTAGCTGAACTACCCTCCAGAGAAGACTGGCTGAATGGACAGGTTATCTGTGATGTCGGTAGATTATATGGTAAAATGATGGGTCAAAATAGGACCTCGATGTTATGGGGAATGCCCCAAATTCAAACCTATTATGAATTAGGTTAGATTCACCTCTATCTTCCAGGCAGGAATTTTCATAATACTTCAGTGTGCGGATATCAATCTGCAAAAACACTACGTCAACCATATGATCTATATAAACTCTGATAGGCCAAGCAGCACGGCTAGCGCTGAGATCAAACTTAGTGAACTTGAAGCTAGTTGGAGACTGCGTGAATCATCTAAACGCCTTGGGATGTAACAACAGGGTCGTTTTACGATGGGTTCCGTGCCATGCCGATATGTGGGCAATGAACTTGCCTGTGAGCTCGCACGGGAGGGCATAAAGAGCACACAATTTGGAACCGGGCCATTTAGTGGAATCTCAAAAAGCCTAGCCCGATTGACTCTTGAAACTCTTTATCACAAGCAATCACTTAAGGTCTGGTCTGATACACCAAGCGTAAAACATTTTAAAACCTTAATCCGGACTTTAGATCGTAAATTCGCTTCAGAAGCCCTGAGATTAGGTAAAAATAAACTGCGCATTCTGGCAAGAGCCCTAACCCTGACGGCACAGTTGTCTTACAAAGCACATGGTCATCCTGGGACTAAGCCACTCAAGGATGTGCCGGTTTTGTCCCTTAATGGAAGAAACGCCTCTGCACATCCTGAGCGATTATAGCCCTTTAATGCCTGTCTTACCTTAATCGTCTTCATCAACATTGTCATCATCATCGTCATCACCATCGTCATGATCATCGTCAACATCATCGTCATCATCATCGTCGTTGACATCGTCATCATCATCGTCTTCGTTATAGTCATCATCATAGTCATCGTCATTGTTATCATTTTCCCCATTTTCGTCATCATCATTGTCATCATCATCGTCATTGTTAACATCATCGTCGTCATCATCATCATCAGCAGCATCATCATCGTCATCTTCATCGTCATGCAAACGTAATACATCTGGGAAACTATCAAATTCGCCCAGAAGAAGTGAAATTGCTCACAGCTAAGCAAATCCTATTCATTGAAGATATAATGCTTAGCAGTGAACTATAGCAAAAGTAGCGATACAATAGATCTTTTAGGTCGCAGTGATACTAGTATTTTTAGATCTGCATAGCTGCTCGCACAAAAAAGTTATGCAGTCTAAATCTATGGATTTACGAAAGGTGTCGTATTCTTTGAAAATTTTGTCAAAATATTGAAACAGTACCGAGCCTTTTCATCTGCTCTGATAAAAGATACATCCAATTTTTAAACCAATTCGATCCCGAAAACAGAAAGTATTATTTGTGTACGAAGTCGTAGGTGTGACATCAACTGATCCTAAAAAATTGTTTTGAAGTAATATGTACGTACGTAGTACATAATAGCTCAATGGTTTAAAATGAACGTTTTTATCCTGTGATTAAAATACAATTAAAAGTGCATTATTAGTTACTTAACTTAAACTATCAAAATTCTATGATACGTATTCATTTTTATGCAAAATGAAAATAATTCATGAAAGGTCAAAAAGCCTATGTTGACTTGCAAATCAGTTGAACAGATGGGCATAATGTGATTTGTCTAGTTGTAAATTGGTTCAGGAACTTATGAGTTTGAACCCATTATTTAAAGATCTACATGAAGTTCTCAGACTTATTAAAAATAATGATTGGCAGGATATTTTTTAAAATCTGTAGACAACATTTCGTATCTTGCTGACTATACCTGTACTTTTACTGTCGCTAAACGGAAACGAAGTTTTAGTACATTAAAACATTTAAAAATTTACCTACATTTCTACTATGTGTCAGGAAAGACTGTCATATCTTGGAATCTTTTCCATAGAAAATTCTATTGCCCAGAAGTTAAATTATTCCGAATTAATAAAAAAAATTGGAAGTACATAAGCCAGAAAGCAGACCATCTAAGCTTTTTATTAAGTTTGTTGTTGGTAGTTCTTTAACTTTTTTAACACTGTCTGCAGAACAACAGTTTACATAAAAGTTGTCAATGAAAATGTTGAATGGAATGCCTCGTCTCCACTAAAAAGGGACTCCGGTTCTCTACACTCACCAAACGAAACGCAGCCGCATTAAGCTACTATTTGACGCTGGTATTCTGTGAGAGCGTGGTCCTTCCCCGGTCGAGCCGATCCAATCGTGCTACAACTACACTACTAATATAACTGCAGCATGACCCTACCAAGTACAAAATAAGTACATTAGTACCTAGATAACGAATAGCATATTAGTTAAAAATTTATTCTTTACTTATAATTAATATTACATACGCTTTAGACGTGCTTTAAAATTGAATAAACACGTTTTTTTTCATACTTAAGTTTTAAATACCATAATATGTATTAAGATTAAGGTAAGTAATCTTAAATCTGCAGGAAGGCCCATCAAGAATAGAATGGCTTCTATCTTACGAATATCAAAGAATGTGGCTCGATGAACGAGAAGCTTGGAAAAAACGTATGTATCCAGAAAATACAATAGTAAATATAGACGTTGTAAAACGTTATGTTCTTTCTTTTAAAAACAATCATCAGCCACCGAAGGAAACGAAAAAGAAACCGTTTAAGATGAAGAGGTACAAATTATTTAAAATATTAAATAATTCGCTCGTAGTATGACAACATTATATACTTACTTCAGTTTATATTTGTTTAAGATTCGAAGGGATAGGAAGCAAGACTATTACCAAGCGTATATTGACGGACAACACGATGAAAAATACCTGAGAATAAATGAAAGTTTGCATAAAAATAACATTCTGTGAACATTATTGTTTTCAAATATATCAATAGTCAGAGAAGAAGATGAAGTATCCATATTTGAAGAATATACGTACTCAATATTGAATTGTAACGTTACAACTGTAATATCATCATCATCATTACAGCCCTTCACAAGTCCACTGCTGAACATAGGCCTCCCCCAAGTAATGCCACAAAGCACGGTCCTGAGCCACCTGCATCCATCGACTTCCTGCATGTCTTACCAGGTCGTCACTCCATCTAGTGGGGGTCGCCCTACACTACGCCTACCGGTACGAGGCTGCCACTCGAGAACCTTTCTTCCCCATCGGTTATCGGTTCTTCGAGCTATATGGCCGGCCCATTGCCACTTCAGCTTACTAATCCGTTGGGCTATGTCGGTCACTCTGGTTTTACTGCGGATATCCTCATTTTTGAGTCTATCACGCAGTGAAACTCCGAGCATAGCCCTCTCCATAGCTCGCTGAGCGACCTTGAGAGTCTTCATACGGCCAGCGGTGAAGGACCACGTCTCAGATCCGTAAGTCATCACTGGCAACACGCACTGGTTGTACACTTTAGTTTTCAGAGATTGAGGTATACCTGACGAGAAGATGTGTCGTAATTTCCCGAACGCTGCCCAGCCGAGTTGAATCCGTCGATTGACCTCTCGGTCGAACTTGGACTTACCTAGTCGGACTATTTGTCCCAGGTAAACGTACTCGTCAACAATTCGATACAATTGCAACTGTAATATACGTATTCAATATCGAATTGTAACGTTACAACTGTAATCGCATGTTTGGGTTGTCTCCGGTTCCACCTATCACGATTCTCGACCATACCAATACGTAGTCCTACTATTTTATTTTGTGAACATGTGGAAATTAAAATATACGCAGAAAGAAACTAAAGCAGATTAATAAAATTCACACTCATTTCTTAGATATTTGTCATCAAAAGAGGAACTTAGTTTTTAATTTTTGAAAACAACAATTAGAATCACAAGGTACCTAGGCCCTTATCTGAAGACCCACTGCGCTGCTTTCTAGTTTCTAGTATATGTTCAGTAATCTATGGCTGCTTTACACACATAATATGTTGACAGACTTCACACGTCCTTGAAATTTCTTGTTTCTCAGACATATAGGTTTCTTACGATGTTTTACCCTCATCGCAAAGTTATCGGTAACTCAGAATTTAAAAGCTATTAATAGGTACGGTGCGGTATCAAATGTGAGCTTATTGAAAGTAATGAAATTCCACGCTCTTTTTCTTTTTTTTTCTTTTTTTTTTTCATAAAAAATTTTTTGGGGAAAAAAAAAAATATTTTTTCGGGGTGAGGGGTTTTGTGCATGACATCGTAAAAAAAAAGTATTAGGGGTTTTTTCTGCATATGTTCGCGAGTTGAGCAATGTTACATCATTAATATCTATCAATTTTGTTTACCATCCAGGTCATTTTTTTACTGTTTTCTTCTGTTGTTTTTTTTAGTTATAATATCTAAGTCAACATAATTTATTACAAAATTTGACTTGCGATACCTTTCAACTCATGATGTTTTGTCTTATACTTATTAAACGATAGTTAAATGTAAATCATACTTACATCAAAATTATCTTCACAGAAGAATAGTCTGGTTTTTGCTGACAATGTATTCGAGTATCTTCTTGCTAGTTTTAACCAAGTATTTCTTATATTTAAATCAGTTAGCACTTGAATCCATAACTTTCCCGGCGTATTATTGCATTCAAGCACAACACAACAATCATTTAGATGATAACTCATTATTAAACATTAAAAAGTATATTATTCCTTTGCAAAATCGGCAGAATCGACGACTGTTACGTCACGAGTTGAGCAAAACGGCGGCTAGCGTTTTCACGCGAAAATTTAAAACGATAGAAAAAAAGTAATTTTTATGGCACTATTCGGTTTAAAAAAATTATATAAAAATTATAGTGGTTCATTATCATTCTGGGATTCATTTAAAACAATTTTTGAAAATGGGTAAAATACCCTATAGCCTAGGCTTATAATGCAGAAATTATTATGTAATTCTATTACGTACTAGTATTATCATTTTTTATTCTTTTTAGTTTTTTTTAAGATTATTTTTAGTGAACCAAGTAATAGATATAATATCACAAGTTCAAGGTAACAACTAAAACGTTGTCTTATGAAACTGTGAGTATTTCCCACTCCATAGCTGGCTGAGCGACCATAAGCTTCCGTGCACGGCAAGTAGTGAAGAACCACGTCTCCAGCCTTAAGTCATCACTAACAACACGAGCTGGTTGTACATACTGGCTTTCGAAATTTGTGGCAGCTAGCTTAGGAAGCTAGGTAACCTAAGCTCGAAAAACCGAGAAAACCGCTGTGTTTTATTACGACCTATTTTTTATAAACTAATAGGACAAACGAACTTACAGTCCACTTGATGGTAAGCGGCTACTGCAGTCCATGGACACTGGGTCGGTACCTGCGCCATTGCAGCAGCACCTCCATGGCTAGTCGGAATTATTGTAAACAACACGTGCACCGCCCTGCAGTGGCGCTCGGGTAGCTACTTGTCTCGATTGTATAAAACTGACGGAGCGGCCGCCGTTAAGGCCAATTAAATTAAATTAAATTAATAAAACCAATTAATTCGTGAGGCAGCTTCTTATGCAGCCCCACCCCCCCTCTCGCTATCGTGTCCGCAGGCCGAGAAACTCTCGGACCCACCTAATAAACTGTCAAACGACCTGAACTGTCTCCTGGCGGCTCAGGCCAACTCTAATTAAATTAAATTATTGTAATAACTAACATTAATTTGCCTTCGTAGGCACTCCCTCAGCGGCACTTAGCCGCCTGCGCCCTCTTTTCGCAAAAGAGGGTCGCTCATGATAAGGCACAATACAGCTTAATCAGCCGGCTGCCTGTCCCCAAAGACGGTTTTTAGAGGGTATCACTTAGGGTCCCCGGTAGGACAGTGAGCCCCTCATAACCACGATAGACCGGCTATCGTGGTATGCGTAATGCATTTTCCGCCTCCCTACGTATAGGGTAGCCCTTTAATTGCTTCGGGCGCAAAAAAAAAAGCCGTTAAGGCTGTCATGGCTTTGACGTGGCAAGGTTCGCTTGTTGTATCCCGATATTAGCTCATCCTAGACTATTCGGATAATTAATTCGTGGAAACGAATTAATTATTATTATCAGCTATTAAATTAGTTGCAGTACAATTTATACCTGTGATCCGTGTATTTTCTGATTGTAAATTAATTCTATTTAACTACCTTCCTACAAATATAACTAATAGTACAAAAACAAATATGTCCCTTTACATTCTTCAAATAATTTAACTTCCCCGCTATGAAATCTTTCAAATATTACACTTCATTTTTAAATGGCGCCGCTTTAGAGGCAGAAAAAGCCGTAGATTCGACATAATAAGACTTAAGCACCACAGTCTTTACGCTCAACATGATTCTTCCACCTCTGATACTGTTCCCTCTATCTCATCATTAAGAAATGATGTAAGAAATTAAATAATTTGTCGAAAGAGTTTATAGACATACAATAGTTTTAAAAAAAAATGGATAGGCTCGTAATTTGGATCCTTTTACATAATTGTAACAATAATATAGACTATCGTGTAACCTTAGGTAGTTAGGGGGATGCCGTATGTTTGCTTCTTAGCTAGATACAGCAATGCAATGCAATCGCAATATCATCGTCCATATTCGCTGGCGAATATCTGTACTCAGTGGCTAGCATCTCTCAACTGAGTCAAAGAAAATATACACTACGCAGAAACTGAGCCTTGTCACTCCGAACGGAAAAAAACGTTTGTGTGTGATGTATGTACGGAACCCAGAATCGGAATTCCGTATGTATGTGACCGGCCTTAGTGCGAGCAAGAGAGGTGACGTTGCAGCAAGGCTGCGTGAAAGGTATATCTGCATTATTTTAACTGACTTTATTGCCCACGCACACATGTTGCCCATAAATCACATTCAATTTGAAATAATTTCAAATAAAAGTAGAAGCCTTTTTAACTCGTATTTTCAAAAACTATACGAGGGCGGCACTGAAAATTTCGGGACTCAAGGAAGTGACACAACATTACTATTTAAAAATGTATTTATTGCTTTTCGAAGTATTCTCCGCGAAATTTGGCACATTTTTCCATACGATGGAACCAATAATTGAAGCAACCATTAAATTCGGAAGTTGGGGTCTCCAAAATGGCCGTTTGTAGGCGTCCACAGCTTCTTCAGGTGATGAAAATCTCTGTCCACGCAATTTATTCTTTATTTTAGGGAAAGTATAGAAATCATTAGGGCTTAGGTCGGGGCTGTACGGCGGATGGTCTAATAATTCTGTTTTCTTGCTCTAAAAACTCTTTTGTTCTGTGTGCGGTGTGAGAACTCGCATTGTCGTGATGGAGGATGATGCGGCGGTTGCAGTTCTCTTTACGGAGTTCAGAAACGACCTGTGGCAAACAAATGCTAGCATATCATTCTGCATTAACCGTTCTTTGTCCCTCAAGAGGAATAGTCGTAACATGGCCGGTTTTGGAGACAAACGTGGCCACCATTTTTTTTTGAAACACTCCGTGAACGAACAATTTTTGTTGGCTTTAACTCATTTTCGAACACACAAACTCGTGAACTGGTTGCTTTTGTTTCGGGTTCGTACGCGTATATCCAGGATTCGTCAACCTGATACGATGTTGTATACAGCATTTGAGGATCCTGCGTGGAATCTTTCGAGAGTTCTGACGCACCAAGTAACGCGAGCCGCTTTTTGCTCTTCACAGAGCGAATGCGGTATCCATCGGGAAAACAACTTTTTTTACACCTAATTGTTAATGCAAGATTATTTGTATTTGACTCATGCCGTTGTCTAAAGTTGCCTGAATTTCGCGGTATGTCACATGTCGATCTTCCTCAATCAGCTTACGCACAGCATCAACGTTTTCTTGGGTGACTGCAGTTTTT